CAGCCACAGTTATATCTGATTTTAACATTCACCTCATCCTTTGCATCATCAAAATTTATTACTCTCATTTCCTAAATGTCTCTCAATTCTGACTCTTCCTTTCACTCTAATGATACTCTGGAAATTGTTTTCACTAAGACTACTGCAATCAGTTGATAACTGATTTTCCTGCCTTCTTTTCCTCCTTTCCTTTGAGTATTGGAAGTTCTCAGTGTTCAATGCTTCATGCAGCCATAAGAGTTACCGGTCTATATAATCAATATTCTATAGGATCTTTTACTCCCCCATTGTACATTCTTTGACGATTCCTCATTAGCCATAAAATGTGGCTTAAATTTCTTAACATGAGATTCAAGATCTTCCGTTGTAAATTTGGTCAGAATATTCCCTTCATACCATCATTTCCCATTATGGAATCAATGTACATTTACATATATTGCTCCTTTATGGCATCACTCTTCTTAGGGGTAGGTGGAGCCCTGACTCACCTCTTTATTCCTTCCTCTACCATAATTTTATTTATATTTCTTTTAAGTATTTAGGCTTATATTCGTGTATGTATATATCTTCCCCATTGAATAATAAGATCTTTGAATGTAAGGAACTGATGGTTGGATGAGTATATATATATATGCCACAGAGATAATATTGTATCCATGCAATACTTTTTTGTCTTTGTGAGAATCTTTTATTTTATTTTATTATGTTATATTAATCAACATACATTACATCATTAGTTTTTGATGTAGTGTTCCATGATTCATTGTTTGCATATAACACCCAGTGCTCCATTCAGTATGTGACCTCTTTAATACCCATCACCAGGCTAATCCATCCCCCACCCCCCTCCCCTCTAGAACTCTGTTTCTCAGAGACCATAGTCTCTCATGGTTCGTCTCCCTCTCTGATTTCCCCCCCCCTTTATTTTTCCCTTCCTGCTACCTTCTTTTTTTTTTTTTTAACATAAAATGTACTATTTGTTTCAGAGGTACAGATCTGTGATTCAACAGTCTTACACAATTCACAGTGCTCACCATAGCACACACCCTCCCCAATGTCTATCACCCAGCCACCCCATCCCTCCCACCCCCCACCACTCCAGCAACCCTCAGTTTGTTTCCTGAGATTAAGAATTCCTCATATCAGTGAGAACATATGATGTCTTTCTCTGATTGACTTATTTTGCTCAGCATAATACCCTCCAGTTCCATCCACATCATTGCAAATGGCAAGATTTCATTCCTTTTGATGGCTGCATAATATTCCATTATATATATACATACATACATATATATATACACATACCACATCTTCTTTATCCATTCATCTGTCGATGGACATCTTGGCTCTTTCCATAGTTTGGCTATTGTGGACATTGCTGCTATAAACATCGGGGTGCACGTACCCCTTTGGATTGCTACATTTGTATCTTTGGGGTAAATACCCAGTAGTGCAATTGCTGGGTCATATGGTACCTCTATTTTCAACTTTTTGAGGAACCTCCATACTGTTTTCCAGAGTGGCTGCACCAGCTTGCATTCCCACCAACAGTGTAGGAGGGTTCCCCTTTCTCTGCATCCCTGCCAACATCTGTCGTTTCCTGACTTGTTAATTTTAGCCATTCTCACTGGTGTGAGGTGGTATCTCATTGAGGTTTTGATTTGGATTTCCCTGATGCCTTGCGATGTTGAGCACTTTTTCATGTGTCTGTTAGCCATTTGGGTATCCATGCAATAAACATTAAGACATGAATACAAACAATGTTTCCTTTAGTTCTTCTGTGGCATTAACAACATCAGCTCTAAATCAGATTCCCAACTTCTTCCTGGACTTCTCATCATTTATCTTAAATATCCTTCATGACCTAATTAAGAGTCCTAATCGGAGTAAATGAAACAATATTGTCATATTAACTGCTTTATTTAGAATACAAAGAAGTCTGATTGCTGCCTAATCAGCCGAATTAGCACCTAATAAAATGTATTTCCCTAAAGGAGCCTTGTAAGTATCAATTTGTAATTGCCTCATCTCTACATAAAATCAGCCAGTGGGTCCTTCTTAGAAAACATAGGCTTAGATGGTCTTCTACCCTTTTCAAAATAAGCACAGTAGTATTGGAAATAAAAATACTATCTATGTCATAGACTTGCTTGGGCATTATGGGCCAAATATACTATACTGTGTAAGTGTATATTATTCTAAAAGCAAAATTATTTGGTCATTATTAGAATCAAATTTATGAACTAGTGAGGTCTTTCAAAATGAACCTAGATCATTTTTATTTAAAATAAAAAAAAAGATCTCAGTGTATATTCACATCTAAGGATAAAGGGATCCTTACAATATCGCCTTTCCTTGGGCTACTATTAGGAATTATACCCACTTCAGGCTCTAGGGGTGGATCCTGTTTGGCCACAATTCATTTAGTGAGGTCAGAACCTGCTATAACATTTTTGAGCCCTTGATGGAATATGGCCAACAAGCTAAGGAGGAATTCTGAAAAGAATCTCTGGAAGATGGAGTAGAAGCCTAATTATGCTGTACCTGTATTCTGCCAACACTCAGGACTTTTCAGCGTGTGTCCCAGCAGGTCCTTTCTATTGCTTAAGTCAGTTTAAATTGACTTCCAAACTATTGAATTACCCAAATCAGAGACCTAGGGTCACAGAGGCCTGCCTCACCTCTGCAACTGTGCCTCATGCTATTTTTCAAGCCTTTAAAGGGAAAATCAGATGTTTTTAAAACATAGTCTGAGTGATGCTTCTTAAAAAGTAAATTCACCAATGAGAAAAAAACATTACTTAAATCTTGGCCTCTGGAAACATTTAAGGGTGAACTCTCTTGGACCATTTGTCTACATTCTAGAAGAGAGGCAGTGATTGTAAATAAAGTACCTTGAATTGAAGTGGTCCACGGAAGCTACCCTCTTGGCTACTTCATCTTTCCTGATCCAGCTTTCTTTCACAGCTAGTGTTTTCATGGTGATATCACAAACTATATGTTCCAGAAACACTGAAGCATGAGCTTAGCTTTTGGCAATAATTTGTTAAAGGCTGAAGAACTGGCATTTACTAAAAAGAAAAAAAAATAGTAAGTCATTAACTTTGTTATTTACCCTTCTGAGAACATTGCTTCTGTATAATACATTAAGAATATGCTTCAAAAAATAGCTTATAAATGAAAGGTCAACATACTGAAGCAAATCATCTAATTACTTCATGTCACAGAATAAGAAACATTTTAATTTCCATATTTTATCCCTGGATTTGAATCATTCTGAGACTCTCAAGAATAATGCAAAGTTCATCTGACCAAAGAAAATGGCAATAAAAGAAGTGAATCAAACATTTCAAAGTCCTATTAATAAATTATATCCTTTGCTGAGAGAATCAGTCCAATTTAATATTCCATTTAAATATTTAGTTACCTTCTGAAAAATGTTTAAGACAAATAAAGTGCTCTAGTTAATAATACAGTGATGTTTACTTGATAGTTGCTGAGAGTATATCTTAAGCCTTCCCACCACACACACATAGGCAAGCTAACCATGTGAGGTGATGTTTAATTATTTTGATCCTAGAAATCATTCTATATGTGTGTGTGTGTGTGTGTGTATACATCAAATCATCATGTACATTCTCAATATATATGATTATATTTGTCAATTAGTCCTTAATAAATTTGGGGAAAAAAAAGAATTCTTATGTATATTCTTTGTCTAGTTCTTGATCTCTAGCATTAATTTGCTCTGTGCATGTACATGCACATTTTAATTATTAGTCACTATTTGTTGCTAGGGCTGCCATTAAAAAAAGACCACATACTGGCTCTCATAAAAAAAAACAAAAAACAAAAAACAGAAATTTATTTTTTCCCACTTCCGGAGGCTGGAAGTCCAAAACTAAGGTGCCAGCAGGGTTAGATTCCTCTGAGGCCTCTCTCCTTGGCTTCCAGATGGCCACTCTTTTACTACTTTTTATGTATTTGTTCCTCTGTGTGTAGGCATTCCTGATGCCTCTTCCTCTTCTTAAAAGAACACCAGTCATACTGGATGAGAGCACTACTCTAACAGTCTCATTTTAACTTAATCACCTCTTTAAAGATCTTATCTCTAAATACACCTACATTCTGAGGTGCTGGGGGTCGGGGCTTCAACATGAATTTTTAAAGAGACAGAATTCAGCCCATAACAGTGACTTTGTTTTCTTTTTGGATATAAAATACATAGATAACAAGTATTTTCATACCATCCTATCTTGATTGTTATTATAGTGCAGGAGGCATAGCCCAATCTCTCCTCCTGCCAGGGAGAAAACATCTGATTTGGAGAGGGCATTTAATCAATATTTGTTGAATAAAAGATGACTGGATCTAACACATAGACATATTTTATAAATTAGTATGTATATGTTCCACAGGCTTCTCAAATGCAACCTCAACAGATCTGAACTCATCCCCTTCTCACAAATCCTTCCCTGTTCCATGCACTGTTCCAGCCAGAATCCTTCACCTCTCCCTCTCTTTTCCTCTTCCTGACAGTCACCAACCCTTGCAGATGCTACCTCATTAATAGGCCTTCAGCCCATGCATCCTCTTTATTTTTGTCACAGAGTTAATCTCCCATATTATTGCAACACACTTGTACCAGCCATATGAACCACAAAACTTCATTCTCCATGTTGATAGTCATCTTACTTGCTCTTCTGCTAAAATTCAATTGCTTCCATTGTTCTTAGTGTGATTCCTAAGCTCCTTCTTTTAGGGCCCTAAATGAACTCATTGTTTCTTATCTTTTTCATGTCTCACAACTTTCCACTTCATAGCCCATTGCCCCATGATACTGAATGACATGTAAGTCCTCAAGTTGACCGTGTGCTTTGTCTCTTTTAATCATTACCTAATGTTCCTTCCTTTTTTTTTCTTCCAATGTTCAGTTTCCTTTAATGACCCTTATCTCCCTGAAGGGCAGGTGCAGGCAGCTAGGTGATGGCAAGAGATGTTTATTTGAAGATCTTGCCCTGATTGAATGCTTTGCCCACATGCTGGAAGGCCCCCTCCCAGGAAAAATACTCTTGAACCAGTGTCTGGGTCTCCTCACTGCCAGGACCCAGTTTCTGCCATGTATATGACTCTTAGTCTGCCTGCCAGTCTGGACTCAGAAAGGCAAGATCCTGGCCTTAGAAGACCTAGACTTCAGAAATGGAACTGCTATTGTTAGCTCCAAAAAGAGTGACACTGGCAAAGGCATTCTTCCTCAGTTTGTCCAACCTCTGGAACATTCCAGTGATGAGGTTGCAGCTCATGAAGGTCCAGGTGAGCTCTCAGGGAAACAGTACTCAGAATAGCACAGAGACCAGCCATCCTTATCAAAATGCTCCCAAACATATGGTAGCACCACAGAGAGGGTGTCCTCACTGGAGTATTTGCACTTAAATTCATCCAACACAAAGGTACTCTTGGGCAAGTGAGCAAAGTGATCCTTGGCCTTTGCCTTAGCAGCCAGCGCCTGTTCACATTCATCCATCTCCTCCTCAGAAGCAGCGGCAGCAGCCTTTTTCTCCTCTTTCCACTCAGCCTGGGGGTTCTGCTTCTCTTCTCAAGAACCTTTCTCTTTCTGTAGGGTACCCTTTTCAGGATGGCTCCCTGCAAACTTTTTAGCATCAACCTGGGCCATCTTCTCATGGAGTTTCCCCTCCCCCACAAGATAGCCTGGAACTGGGGCCAGTTAATGCAGGTGAGGAACCAGTGGTTGGTGTCAGGGAAGGCCTGCTGGAAAGAAGGCTCCAGGACCTGTTTATAAAGCCACAACAGGGTGCAGACTATTGTGATGTCAGCCAGTGTCACACATTCACCCACCAGGAAAGTCCTTGTCATTAAGTGAGCATCCAGTAGTCTCAGAATTCACCTTACCTCTTCCTTTGCATTCTGTGTGGCCTGCTTGTTGTGGTGCACAATGCCCAAAGTGGGGAACACCCAGGTACTGGCTGGGGACACTATGTCACTATCAGCAAAGCTCACCCCTGAACCACTGGGGCTGCTGCCTCTGGAGTATTTCCCCACAGCTCCTCATTGCTCACATAGTAGGCACTGGCATTGCTCTCCAACACACAGAAACCATCGTCACCCTCAAATGCTGGAAACTTACTGGCAGGCAATTTACGGAGAAATTCGGGGGAGTTGGTTTGGTCAAACTGGAAATGGGGTGGTGCAGAGAGCACATAGACCTGAGCCCCACTGTACCGAGCAGCAATGAGAGGCTTGAAGACCCTCCAGTTCTCAGGATATGTGTACAGGGTCCTGGCCACCATGGTGATTCCACAGAGAAAAAACTATTCCTTTCTTAATCTAGAACATTCTTCCCATATGCCTCTTACCTTTATTTGCAACTATCAAAATCCCATTTGTACCTGGGGACTCAGTTAAAGGGTCACATCCTGCTTAAAGTTTCTGTTGAACACAAAGTCTGAGAGTTTCTTCTATTTTTCTCTTATCAGAGGCTGGTTAAAGGAAAACTTGGAAAATGTATAACTATTACAAACAAACATAACTCAATAAAGTGGCTGGGTTCAAAATTAAGGTAGTTATATCAAGAATCACTAGGCTTCATATGTGTAAATCAAAACCTGCTACAAGTTATAATGGAAGGAGACATTTACAGTAACCTCTGTGTAAAATATCTAGGGTAACAGGAACTGTAAAAAACCCTCTCCAAAGAAAACTCTTAAAAAAAAACTAGTGAGAAATACAAATGAAGACAACTGGTAAGAGTACTATATTCATGACTAAGTGGACTCAAAGATTTTACTTATCACTAAATTAATCTATAAATGTTATAAATTTTATATTTGTTCAATAAAAAATACCAGTATTATGTTTTTAATTTGATAAACAGATTCAAAAAGTCAAACAGAAAATAAACCAATAAAAATAGCCATAAAAATTGTGGGAAAAAATGAGTAATACTTCATTTCTAATATAATAAGAAATACCATATGGATCATAGATTTGAATGTAAAATTTGAAGCTGTAAAAGGAGTTATTTTCATGACTAGAACAGCCATGGCTCATGGTCTCAAGAAGCATCTGAAGCAGACAGCAGCTCTAAAGCACTGGAAGCTGGATAAACTGGTGTGTTTGCTCCTCATCCATCTACAAATTGCCATATTCTGAGAGAATGTCTCCCTCTGTTGGGGTTAATGTAGAGCATGAAATCAGCCATAATACCTGGCTTGCTAAAATGTAACACGGAAGCCGCTGGGAGCCATAGAAGGTTTCAGAGAAAGGCATAGGCCTTTGGAATGCCGAGGCCTGCTGACCACTCTGCTGTTGGAATGCCTCAGGAAGTTGCCTTCCCCAAAGCTTTCTTAGCCCAAAGAGCTGCCCTGTGATCTAAGAGATGTATGCATTGTCCCTTAGGCTATGTTTAGCAGAACTTGTAGAACATGCAGATTAGCACATTGTATCTTTCCCTTAAACAGATCTTCCCTTGTCACACATCACGTGCTTGAGAAACAGTTATAAGGATTTGTGATTATCCTGAAGGACCAATAAAAGTGGGAGCAAAGAAGAGCAAAGGGTTTTCATTTCTGAGCATTGACCCTCTTGCCTTCTCCTCTCTTTCACAGCAAAGTTTGGAGTAATCTTTCATCCATCGGTACAGGGATTGCTGGCCATTCCCGGCATCCCTCTCATCATTTTCCTAAAGAATAGGCTTAAGTATTCCCTAAAAGATGAAGTAAGGAAGATAATCATGTAATGTTTCATTAAGATTGGTGGCAAGGTCCAAACTGATATAACCTACATGTTGGTTTTATGAATGTCATAAGCAGTGATAAGACTGCAGAGAATTTCTGTCTAATCTGTGACACCAAGAGTCACTTTGCTATTCATTGTATTACATCCGGGGAGGCCAAGTACAAGTCGTGCAAAGTGAAAAAGATCCTTCTGGAAACAAAAGGAATCCTTCATCTAATGACCCCTGATGTAGGCACCATCCACTACCCTGATCCCTTCATCATTCACATTGATTTGGAGACTTGAAAGTTTACTGATTCCATCAAGTTTGGCACTGGTAATTTGTATATGGTGACTGAATGTGTTAACATGGGAAGAATTGGTATAATCACCAACAGAGAGAGACACCGGGGTTCTTTCGGTGTAGTTCACATGAAAGATACCAATAGCAACAGCTTTGCCATCCAGCTCTCCAACATTTTTGTTATTGGCAAAGGCACTAAGCCATGGATTTCTCTTTCCCATGGAAAGGCTATCTGCCTCACCATTGATGAAGAGAGAGACAAGACACTGGCAACCAAACAGAGCAGTGGGTGAATTGGTCTCTTGGTGATATGATTGGAAGTCTTTACACTTAATTAAAGATAATACAGCATGGAAAAAAAGTGGTAAAAGGATACATGAGACACTTTATACAATACTTGTATGAAAATGTCCTTTTAAAGTATGACAAGTTCCTGAAACCCATAAATAAAATATTGATAAACCAAGATTTTCTATGTATAAAATTCACTATAGTTAATGCCCCAAGTAGAAAAAAATAGTTCACCCAAATTGAGTGATTTGAGGAGTGTTGAATGGAAGGACAAAGCTAAGTGTAGGATTATTAGGAAAACACTAGAGTTAGTGCATTGTCTAAAAACTAGTACTAGCAAGATACATAATCTCCTTAAGCCTAAAGAGGTGAGGGAGAGCAGTAACTGGACTCAGATAAATTTTTGTTAAGACAGCTGGCTAGCAGAACATAATCCTGCAGGAATACAGACATCCTTCAGGGATGGAAGGAGGAAACCAGGTTATAAATATCCTGCATTTGCTCTCCTCCCTTCCTTTACTCTTCTGTGCCAGTACTCCTAACTGGTGGAACTTAGGTCAGCCCACAGAGTTCATTCTCTTAAGACATAAAAGCTAAAAAATACAGTAACCAAAATTAAGAATAAATGGCCTTATTAGGTTGGACACAACAAAGATCACTTTAAACTAGAATATAAATCACTGTAAAATACTAGATTGAAACAGAGAAGAAGGAGTGAAAAATCAGAAAAGAGTGAGAGGTATATTGTATACTGTTTAAACTTCTAAAAGAAAAAGAGGCTAGAGAGTATATGACAGAAGCAACATTTGAAGATAAACTGTCCAAGAATTTTCAAAAATTAATGAATGAACAAATGGTGTTGGAAAAACTGGATATCCTCATGCAAAACGATGAAGTTTGACCTCTACTTTATACTATATACAAAAAATTAACTCAAAATGGATCAAAAACCTAAATATAAGACCTAAAAATATGAAACTCTTAGAAATAAACATAGGCAAAAATCTTTGTGACATTAGATTTGGCAGTGACTTCCTGGATGTGACACAAAAAGCACAAGAAAAACAGGTAAATCAGACTACATCAAAATTAAAAATTTTTATACATCAAAAGACATTATGAACAGAATTAGAGGCAACCCCCAAAAATGGAAAAAATATTTGCAAATCATATATCTGATAAAGGGTTAATATCCAGAGTAAAGAACTACAACTCAACAAAAACAAGAAAACATATACAACTCAATTTAAAAATGGAAAGGCTTGAATAGACCTTTCTCTAAAGAAGATATACAAATGGATAATAAGCACATGAAATGATGCCCAACACAGCTAATCATTAGGGAATGCAAATTAAAACCACAATGAAATGCCACTTCACACCGATTAGGATGGCTATTTTCAAAAACACAGAAAATAACAAGTGTTGGCATGGATGTGGTGAAATTGGAAGCCCTGTTACTGGGAATATAAAATGGCTAGCTGCTATGGAAAATGTCATGGCAGTTCCTCAAAAACTAAAAATGGGATTACCATATGACTGAGCAATTCTACTTCCAAAATAATTGAAAACAGAGTCTTAAACAGATATTTGTATATCCACTTTCATAGCACCACTATTCACAATAACTAAAAGGAGGAAGCAACCCAAGTGTCTATTGACAGATGAATGGATAATCAAAATGTGGTATATACATATAATGAATATTATTCAGCCTTAAAAACAAGGAAATTCTGACACAGGCTAAGATATGGATAAACCTTGAAGACATTATCATAAGTGAAATAAGCCAGTCACAAAAGGACAAATACTGTATGATTCCATTAAATGAGATGCTTAGGATAGCCAAATTCATAGATATAGAAAACAGAATTGTGGCTGCCAAGAGCTGTGAGGAGGATATGGGGAATTATTGTTTAATGGATATGGAGTTTCAGTTTAGAGTGATGAAAAAGTTTTGGAGATGGATGGTAGTGATGATTGTAAAACAGTGTGAATGTACTTAAATGCCTCTATACTGTACATTTAAAGTGGTTAAAATGGCAAATGTTCATTGCTGAAAAATACAATTTTATAAAGAAGTAAATTCTCCAGACTGGCCTACAGATCCAATGCAATCTCAATCAAAATTGTATGTAGGGATGCTCAGGCTAGGGGAGGGGCAAACAACTAAGACTAGGTGGGTAGATGGGGCTGCGTGTATCTAAGGGGCCACAGAAATTGAATCTTGTATTTTGAGAAAAATGAAAATTAAGTTTTACAATTTCTACTTCTTAGCATAGTGTATAATATTTGGTAGGAGCTTCATAATATTTTTTTAAACAATTAGAAAGATTTTTAATAAATATATTTTGCCTTTCTTAGTCAAAGGGATGTCATGTTTATGTGTCTTATGACCCAACTTTCTTTCTTGTTCCAATTATTTTCATCTCCCAGGGAGTAAAGATTGCCTACAAACAATAAAACACAAACACATACACACACAACCCAATAAGAAAAATGGGGAAAGACTATGAACTGACAATTCACAAGAGAAAAAGAGAATGAGCAATAATCATATGAAAGCCTATCAACCTCAGACATAAAATTAAATGGCTTGAATTAAAATGTTCATTTATTTTTACTGCCTATGCAACTCCACTAAAATAACAGTAAATTGGTATCAATGGAAAAGAAAGCCACAGTCAATGAATGATATCCATAAATATTTGCAAGATATATTGTTGAAAGTGGACAAATTATGGTTACTGACATAAAAGAGTAAAAAGACTTTAAGCCCAATACCAGCACAGAGGATGCCTATAACAGAGAACACTAATTCAGCAAGTAAAACCTATAAAAGGCTCAGGATAGAAGCACCATTTATTTCCAGAGCAAATGAAAGATGGGATGAAAAGTACAGTGGCCAATTTAAAGTGAGCATAAAATGGAGTTAAAACCAAGGTCTCCTCTGCTTCCCTGCCAACTCCCTATGGAGAA